TTTACAAAAAACAGCGGATGAATTCGTGCAAAAAATCAAACCATATTTTGAAATATATGGCTCGCGAAACATATATAATTCTGATCAAAGTGGTTCTCAATTGGAAACGCATTCGGGACGAACTTTGGCGGACAAGGGGTCTAAAGAAGTCTCGTGCATTGTACAATCTATAACATCAACGACACACAGTTATACGATACAACCCACGATATCTGCTGATGGAAAATTATTGTCACCTCTTTTCATTGTTTACAAGAGATTGTTTAGAGAATCTATTCAGACCTTCAAATGTTTATGTAACGGATTCAAAATCGGGAAAACGGACTCTGGTAAGATGATATTTTTAATGTATAACAAGATGTGACAAGTTATTTACATTAATTGAAATGTTAATCATATTTCAAACATTCCAGAGCACTTCAAAATTTGGTTGGAAGAAGTATTCTNAGATTGTTTAGAGAATCTATTCAGACCTTCAAATGTTTATGTAACGGATTCAAAATCGGGAAAACGGACTCTGGTAAGATGATATTTTTAATGTATAACAAGATGTGACAAGTTATTTACATTAATTGAAATGTTAATCATATTTCAAACATTCCAGAGCACTTCAAAATTTGGTTGGAAGAAGTATTCTTTCCACACGTGGGACTAAAAAGTCTACTGTTGATCGATTCATGGAGTGGACATTGCTCTCGAGTGGTAGAAGAGGCGACTCCTCGAAATAAAGAATTATTAACTATGCTGATTCCGAAAGGGACNACCAAAGTAAATTGCAAATAACTTGGATACAGTAAAATGTAAATAATTGTTCTTTTTTTTATTCTACAAGGAACATTCGGCAAATTACAATACCATTCCTTCCAAGTGTCCGCCATCACTTGTACTACAGAACTCTATCCTGCGTTCAAACCTGGTATAGATGCGCTGTATTGTGTTTTTATCAACAGCTCGGATAGCATCCCTAATTGCGTCTTGCAACTCGCCCACCGTCGTCGGATGCTTCTCATAGTACTTGTCCTTGAGAAAATCCTACAGGCAAAAATCGTAGGGATTCAAGTCCGGACTGTAAGGCGGCCATTCCATGCCCCCATGGGCATACTTAGAGTAACCTAAGCCTAACACACGAGTACCGTAAACGGAAAAAAGTATTTCGAATACTCCAGCAGTCCTATGTGGGGCGGCACCATCTTGCATGAAGTAGAAATTCTTGACTAACTGATTTTTTCGTGCCCGAGGAAAGAAGTTCGTCTTCAAGAACTCACGGTAAATATCAGCACTGATTGTCGGACTCTCAATAAATTCAAGGAAAATACCTTTTATTGCAATTGCCGCCCATGCAGTGACTTTTTTCGGGTGTGAGGATTTGGTTTCAATAACGTGAGGTGACTCAGTCCCCCAAAAGCGAAAATTTTGTTTATTTACTAAGCCACCTAAGTAGAAATGTGCTTCGTCCGAGAAGATATTCTGTGCCTTCAGTTCTTTTCATTCAAAAAAATGTGAAGTTCTTGACAAAATTGCACACGGCGAGCCATCGCCTCCTCACTTAAAAATTGATGTACAGAAATTTTGTGGGGATGGAAGTTGAAAAACACTTTCAAGATGCGGTGAAGTGAAGTTTTTGAGATTTTCAAGATTTGAGAAGCCTTTTGAAGAGTATCATTTGGATATATTGTGAAATGTTCTTCAGTTGTGCGGACAACTTCATCCGTGTTTACAGTACGTGAAGGACCAGGATGCTCATGCCTTCTATCGTCTAGTGTACCGAACTGATCGAATTTCTTAATTATCCTGAAAATACCTATAATTGGTCGAAAAATGCGTCAATTTTCAACAAAAGAAGAAAACAAACTTTTTTGGTTAGTTAGTTTATTCACTTTATTTACCGTTTGAGACTCGAATCAGACACTCCAGTGTGTGTGCCATACTTAGAATGAAATGCTCTTATAGCTGCAGTAGCTGAATCTCCTTTTCGGTAATATGATTTAATGAGGAATGATTTTTGTTCGATGGTTAAATTTTCCATTTTAGTGCTGCAATTCCCGAGCGACTGAAGCATGAATTAAATTTGTGGAGAGTCTCCACTTCAACCATATATTAGACTTTAGATCGCACTGCCACCTTGCGGTATTCTACGCAATTTACTTTGGTCACATGCTATGGGACACCCTGTAGAAGAGGCAACTCCTCGAAATAAAGAATTATTAACTATGCTGATTCCGAAAGGGACGACCGGGAAAATTCANAGTAACCTAAGCCTAACACACGAGTACCGTAAACGGAAAAAAGTATTTCGAATACTCCAGCAGTCCTATGTGGGGCGGCACCATCTTGCATGAAGTAGAAATTCTTGACTAACTGATTTTTTCGTGCCCGAGGAAAGAAGTTCGTCTTCAAGAACTCACGGTAAATATCAGCACTGATTGTCGGACTCTCAATAAATTCAAGGAAAATACCTTTTATTGCAATTGCCGCCCATGCAGTGACTTTTTTCGGGTGTGAGGATTTGGTTTCAATAACGTGAGGTGACTCAGTCCCCCAAAAGCGAAAATTTTGTTTATTTACTAAGCCACCTAAGTAGAAATGTGCTTCGTCCGAGAAGATATTCTGTGCCTTCAGTTCTTTTCATTCAAAAAAATGTGAAGTTCTTGACAAAATTGCACACGGCGAGCCATCGCCTCCTCACTTAAAAATTGATGTACAGAAATTTTGTGGGGATGGAAGTTGAAAAACACTTTCAAGATGCGGTGAAGTGAAGTTTTTGAGATTTTCAAGATTTGAGAAGCCTTTTGAAGAGTATCATTTGGATATATTGTGAAATGTTCTTCAGTTGTGCGGACAACTTCATCCGTGTTTACAGTACGTGAAGGACCAGGATGCTCATGCCTTCTATCGTCTAGTGTACCGAACTGATCGAATTTCTTAATTATCCTGAAAATACCTATAATTGGTCGAAAAATGCGTCAATTTTCAACAAAAGAAGAAAACAAACTTTTTTGGTTAGTTAGTTTATTCACTTTATTTACCGTTTGAGACTCGAATCAGACACTCCAGTGTGTGTGCCATACTTAGAATGAAATGCTCTTATAGCTGCAGTAGCTGAATCTCCTTTTCGGTAATATGATTTAATGAGGAATGATTTTTGTTCGATGGTTAAATTTTCCATTTTAGTGCTGCAATTCCCGAGCGACTGAAGCATGAATTAAATTTGTGGAGAGTCTCCACTTCAACCATATATTAGACTTTAGATCGCACTGCCACCTTGCGGTATTCTACGCAATTTACTTTGGTCACATGCTATGGGACACCCTGTAGAAGAGGCAACTCCTCGAAATAAAGAATTATTAACTATGCTGATTCCGAAAGGGACGACCGGGAAAATTCAACCTCTTGATGTATACGGTTTCAGAATTTGCAAAAATTATGTCCGTCATTTTTTACATACGGTCGTTCTCTTGAATCATGACATCAATTTACATGCACGAAATGATGTAATAAAATTGCAATCTCTAGTTCATAATCAATTATCGTCACCAAGGTTTAAAAATCTATTTCGTTCTGCTTGGTTCCAAATTGGCTACATTGCTAAAAAAAACAAGAGGAATTTGATAATCCTGTTGATTTTGCATTTGGACAATCTTCTAATCCACAATGTGATGTTGATGGTTGTTCTAATGTTGCAGTAGTTAGATGCTCGTGGTGCAGAAAGTCTCTCTGCCTGCACCATTTTTTTGATGAATATCATTTCTGTACCGATTATAATCCATAATAAAATATATATATGGACAACCACAGGAAAATGCCAAAGAAGTAAAGGCTCGATTGAGATGGATGGAATGAGTTTCTACAACAAATACTAAATCCCTTGGACAACTCACAGTTCTCCCAGAAATTATTTCTTCTACCCCAGAAAATTTGAGTTCCAAGGAAAATAAAAAAAAAGGTATTCCGCATTTTTCCATGGTCTTCCCAATGCAATCATTTTCATGAAATCCTGACCTATAATTTTTTTAAAAATATTTTCACAGGGGTAGTTTACCCCCCCCCCCCCCCCCCCCCCC